AGTACGAGAACACTTTACTCCAAGGAGAATGGCATGCGGTCCTTGTTGATCGAGCCCTGCCAATTGAGGTACCAGTTCTCGGAACCCTTTCTCCGGAAGATCAACGACCTGAAGAATTCTCAGCAGCGCCCGTCCCCAGTGCAGAACCTCGTGGTGGAGAACCAGAAGGTGAAGATCAAGCTCATGAAGGGGAAGCGCTCGGATCCTCCGGCGTGGAACCTGAGGGGCAGGAAGATGACGATATGGGCGTGCCCGAGGCAAGCTCTATCCCCACCATGCAAGAACCGAACGAGACCGAGCTGGGTGAGATATCGCGTCCTTGTGAAAGTTATGTCCGAGCACTCAATGCCCTACGCATAACTGCTGGTATGCAACCACCCAGCATGTGCCTTGCTTGCGGCAACTATGGCCACAACACCCGAAATTGCGAAGCAAATGGGGGGTACAACGCTCTGGTGGTGAACGAAGCATTCAGCGTCATTGGGAAAAGCCTGGCTAAGATGCACAAGTCAAGCAGTACGCCACCAACAGAAATCTTCCAAAGATGGGCAGAGAAGAATTTGCGAGATGCCGCTCGCGCTCCGCAAGTACCAGGAACCGCTTCGGATACTCCGGGTGGGGATGGGGAAAGCGTCGAGCCTGGAGCTGCAGCGTCTTCGGAGGACTCCAGAGGCCCGCTGCCAAGACGGCGTCAAGCATCAATCTCAGTTGAGGATCCTACAGTGGTCGTGATCGAAGTCGATGAAGAACCAGAAGAGGCTGCGACAAGAATGATTCGACCCAAGCGCAGGCCCCAACCGAGACCTGATCTTCCAGAGCCCAAAGCTGCGCCAGCTCCTAGGCGGTGGATTGCGAACAACGCCGGCAATGCTCGTTCATTCGTCGAGATTCGCTACCACGAGCCGAAGTCTTGCCTTGACATCATCAAGTCCATCGAGGACGTATCGTGGGTCGGTGGGCAGAGCATCTATGAGATCGGATTAGAATCGCAGGATGCAACGCGCCGATTGATTGAGCAGGAGGTTGGAGGAGACGTTGCTACACACCCTCTCCGAAGCGACATCGATGAGTATCCTTCCTCGAACATGGGATACGTGAACATCGGCAAGCTGGTCATCGGAGGGGACCTCCGTCTCCTACCGATCAAGGATGCAAGATTCGCTCACAGGCATTTCTCAGCCCTGGTTCCCGCGACTTCCTCCAATGACAACCATCGCAATCGGGATTATCATCGCAGGATCAAATCCCTGGGCTATGATGTGCAACGTTTGCTTAGGCACCGCCTAGCAAACAGAGAGACGAACTACATGCACAACCAGCTCCCGACAATCCCGTGCGACACCGGAGGGTGGGTGATGCTCAAAGACTTCATCCACCTGGAGAACTTCTGGCAAAGCGGGAGGTATTACGCAAGGAGTTCAGCTCGAGACGACAACTCGGAGTATCAGAGAAGAATTCAAATGCTGATCGACTACGCGTACTACGAGTACCGCACCAATGGGAGAATTAGACTCCAATTCCTGGGCATCAAGATCGTGGCGCCCAAACCTGGACAAAGAGCGTCTGATACGCCGTGGGACGGCACTCCGGGCGTCGGCGCAACCCAGCGTGCCCAACTTGAAGAACTCGGAGGGCACAGGTTGACGCATGACATCACGTCCGGTACCCTGCGTCGATGCGACAATTGGGTGCAGCCGTGGGCGATCAGGGCCACAAGTGGACACTCCAGCAACTCCAATTCGCTGGTGCGGGTGAATGACGACCGGGTCGCATGCCACTTGACCACGAGCTTGGTCAATCAGATTGGTGGGGGGTATCACACCACGGCCCCAGAGCTTCTCGCCAACATCGTGGCGAAAGGACTTCTTCCAGGCGGAGGGGCGTCAGGCGGTCGAGTCCACAGCCATTTCGGGACGTTCCCGCCATGGGATCCGAGAAATCAGACGGTGAGAACAAGGATTCCCGGAAGGCCAAGGTCACCAATTGCAGTACTGTACGTTCCAGCCTATGAGCTCATGCGCTACAACGCAGTGATCACGATCAATGGAATGTTTCTCGTCCAGCGGCAAATTCCATTCGAGGCCGTCAAGCACGTTTGGATCTGCATGCCAAGCCAGGGAAGGTACTTCGAGTTCAGCGAAGTCTTCAAGGTGTACTCCAAAGAGCTGTCCAAGGAGATGGTCGAAGGGTACGGGGACGCACGCATCAATCCCGATCGTGACCCTCCAAAACCTTCGGTGGAAGACCTCGTCAGCACCATGGAAGGAACCGACGCTGGCCCGCATGAAGGCGAGAGGCGCGAGATCTTGCAAGCAATTGAGCAGGCGGGCGACACCGTTCCTGGAAACATCATCAAGCGTGCTTTCCAGTTTCTCTCAAGGACATTCCGGCGTGTGACGACTCACACCACCACAAGCGATCCGCTGATCTTGAGGGTTTGCCCCTGCTGCGGCAGGCATACCGCTGCGAGCTTCGCAATTTTGCCTCACGTGTGGGAGAGTTTTCTTGTCCATGGGGAGGATCCAGCATGTGCGTGCCAATCCGGAACCCGAAAGGATTGATCCGGAAGTGGTTCGCCAGGCGCTCAACCAGGCCGCTGCCGTCGTCAACAACGAGGTTGTGGAGATTGAAGTGGAAGATGAGCCACCATCAGAACCTGTTCAGGAGGATGCGCTTCCGCTCCGCGGGGTGCAGAATCCAGCAGGGGATGTGGAGGCAAACAGTCCACGGGAAAGCGTGGCGGAGCCTGAGGCCGAGGAGATCCCCGACGAGATTCGCGACATGTACCGCGATGTGGAGATGGAGGCTCCCAACCAAGAAGAGGTGGAGATGGATGCGCAGAATCAGCGAGCATTCGTGCTGGCGGGAGACAGGGAAGGCGATTCGTTGGACGATCGAAACGAGAGGAAAGCTCGCCTTGCGCTGGAGTGCAATGTCAACATTGACACCGACTACGCAGCATGCGTGGACCACAACTTCAGGTTGTACTGTCACCTCGACGCCTTCTTTGCGTACGTGTTGGTCCATAAATGGAATCTGTTTGAGAAAATCATCATGACTCCATACAAGAAGATGAAGGACCAGTTCGCCTCAGGCATGAGACACGACGCGTCTGGGACATGGCCTATTGTCCCTATCGATGAGGACACGGCGTTGCCGAGAGACCTCATGGAAGACGAGGTAAGGCAGTATGCCAGCTCTGTGGAGAACCAGCAGTTCATGATTGAGCGTTATTACGCCAACAAGTTCGTCTTCTACGTCATGCGTGGGGCGATCCAGCTGGGGTACAACAAGGAGAGCTTTAACCTCCCCATGATTCCTGATGAGGCCGAGGACCCGAAAGCATTTGCTGAAGCCGGGCAAAGGGTCCACATGTTCATGGCCAAAATCATCTATCAGGTGTTGAACGTGAGGCTTTACTCCTACACGAAACCCAACGCTGAGATCCCGTACCACGCGGCATTCAAATACATCAACCCGATCCAGCTGCTCAGTTTGATGGACTCGCAGAAGGTGAGCGTCAACAACCTTCTGGTGATGAGGGATTCGGGGTGCGCTCTACCCAACCAGTACAGCAAGAAGCTGGACAGATGGTTGAGTGATCAAAAGAAGGACATGAGCATCCTGAAGTTGAAGCCCACACAGTATTTGGAGAATCCAAAGGCGTCGGCTTTGTACCTTGCCTATGACCCTTCAGCATCCGCACCTTCGGTTACCTCATCGGGAGGATCTCGTCATCCTGAAGCGGACGAGACGGACATGCCGGCTCGAGCGAAGGGCCGCATGAGTCAGCCGAAGCCCAAGACTTCTCATCCTGGGACACCTCAAGCTGCTCCCAAAGATCCTCGCGGTCATTCGAGAAAGGGATCTGGAAAGAAAGGGTGAATGATGTACTCGGATCCTCCGGTATGTCATCCCCTGGAATCCATGGTATTCCTGAAATATGGTTGTGGCTTAGCACTTTGCGTTCTCAGTTTTGATTCCTCTTTTCCCTATGGATGCAATAGATGACACGATGGAGTACGTCATTAAATCCACCGATGCTATTTCTCTTTTCGGCCACTGCGTAGCAGCAGCGGGGCAATGTGCCAATGCGCCCGCTGGAGGGAAATGTGCGATTCTTGGCAGCTCGTGTGGTAGCCAAGTGGGTATGGGTCATGCTCTGCTGACTTGGCCGATGTTACTGCTTCTCAGTCATGCGTTCTGGAGACGCAATGTGATGGATCAGCAATTTGCTGACATGTTTTCAGGGCCTTTCGCGCCCATGATTCCACAACCGTGAGCAGCGAGTCTTTGTACAGACAAAGGATGGGATTGAACGCTTCAGTAGCTGAAAGTCTGTCTCACATCTATCAATTCGGGCAAATAGAGCAAAACAGTGGAGAACGGCCAGACTATAAGTCGCTTTTAACTGGGACCATTGTATGTTCGTGACGCAATTTCGTCTAGCATTTTGCAAATCCCAGCCGTGGGGGGTGTGAATGATCCCCGAACCACAGCACGTTTTGGGGACCCCTTTGTGTCGGCTCCGCCGCACATCGGGGAAACCACTTTAGAACGCCGTGGCCTGTTCAACACATTGGCTCAAGTAACCCCTAGAGTGAAGGTCACCCATAGGTTGGAAGTAAGCGCAATAGCGTAACTGGAAACCGCCCGGGTGCACGAGACGGAGACTGAAGGCGAACGCCAGTGCAGAAAACAAGTGCGAGACCATTTGGCTGGTGAGGAGCCAAAGCGTAGTGCAAGCAACTACCCGACCTCACGCACTAAACCCTAAACCCTAAACCCTAAACCCTAAACCCTAAGTCCCAAGCCCTAAAGGCCGACTTGAGGGGTCAAGGGCATTTAAGCCTTCTGCCTTTTGGGGCTTCGGGGTGTGAGAAGGGTTGGGGTTTAGGGTTTAGGGTTTAGGGTTTAGGGTTTAGGGTTTAGGGTTAAGGGTTAAGGGTTTAGGGTTTAGGGTTTAGGGTTTAGGGTTTAGGGTCCCGTGTTCCGGACAGGCCCCTCACCTGGTTCGACTGGGTGTTGGTCGCCGGCTTTGCCTACGCCGTGGCTGTCGAGATCTTAGCCGACATCCAGCACCTGGGAATGCAGAGACCCTAAACCCTAAACCCTAAACCCTAAACCCTAAACCCTAAACCCTAAACCCTAAACCCTAAACCCTAAACCCTAAACCCTAAACCCTAAACCTAACCCTAAACCCTAAACCCTAAACCCTAAACCCTAAACCCTAAACCCTAAACCCTAAACCCTAAACCCTGAACCCTGAACCCTGAACCCTAAAGCCTAGACCCTAAACCCTAAACCCTCTACCCTCTAAACCCTAAACCCTCTACCCTCTAAACCTAAATCCTAAACCCTAAACCCTAAACCCTAAACCCTAAACCCTAAACCCTACACCCCAACTCCTACCCAATATGAGGGTCATATCGGGGGGCTGTATGAGAGTCAACATCTCCAAGACCATCCTGGCAGCTAGGCTTCAGCCTTTTCGGGGTGCGACAGCAACCGCTTGTTGAAACCCGAGGGGGAATCCTCCCTCTCGTTCTCTCGTTCTCTCGTTCTCTCGTTCTCTCGTTCGCTCGTTCTCTCGTTCTCTCTCTCTCTCTCTCTCTCTCTCCCCTGTTTTTTTGTGCAGGGCTGAGGGTTTAAGGTTAGGGTTTCGGGTTTAGGGTTTAGGGTTTAGGGTTTAGGGTTTAGAGTTTAGAGTTTAGTCAGAAAGTGAGCGCAGCAAAGGAAGGCTCAGTGGGTGCAGGCGGGCCGCCCTGGCGGCTTCTGCCAGGTCGGGGAAGAGGGGCTTTCAGATTTCGGGGTTTAGGGTTTAGGGTTTAGGGTTTAGGGGCCCTCCCTCAACCCTAAACCCTCAACCTTTAAGAGTTCAGGGGCACCTTTAAAGACACCAATTGTGCGTCTCCTGACCGTTTTTGCCAGGTCGGCGTGTGGGCCTTCTCAAGGCATCCGAACTACTTCGGCGAGATCTTCCAGTGGTGGTGCGCGTGGGCGCTTGCATACAACAGCTCCCAGCACGCCTCTGGATATACCGATCCCCTCTGGTGGGCTTGCATTCTGTCTCCTGCTTTCACGATGCATATTCTTCTGAACCTGGCGCCGACTGGTATCTCCAATGCGGAGGGGAAGAATCTCAAGCGTTACTATGAGAAGTACCCTGCCCCTCGTCATATGAAGTCTTGGGGCCCCTTTCTGATGGGTCCCTGCAATAGCGCGGCCCTTCCGGGGAAGCGACCACGTGTAACAATGAGGGCGCTTGAAACTCAGGAGGAGTACACAGAGTACCGGCAGAACACCTCCATTCTGATTCCCATGGTGGGCTACCGATATATTCCGCTGAGCCTCAAGAGGCCCATATTGGGGGGTTTAGGGTTTAGGGTTTAGGGTTTAGGGTTTAGGGGGTTTAGCCACACCTTAAAAACCCGCTTGGAGCTTCCTTCTGTTTCCCAAGCAGCCCCCTTCTTGGCCAGGACGATCTTCTTCGACTTCGAACGCTACGAGTATCGTCCTCGAGGAGGGTCTGAAGTCAAGAAAGATTGACAGGCAGAGCTGTTATTCTGTGACGGTTCCTGACTCTCACCCACATCCGCTGAGCTCCTTTGCCAGGAGGCTCGGCTCTGCAAACACAAATTCTGACGAGCAGTGATGGCGACTAGCTATTTTTGAATATGGGGTTGAGGGTTAGGGTTTAGGCTTTAGAGTGAGGACGTGTGCTGACAGGCGCCATCCTGTTGGGTATTTGCGCCGGCAGGCAGAGGCTTGCCAGTGTGAACAGACGCTGTGAAGACCAGCTTAGCTTGAGTTTTCTGAGGCAATTTTCTGAGGCCGAAGGCCCAACCTGTTTCCTGCTGTTGGGTGGGGCGTACAGCGCAGGTTAAAACTGGAAGGGCCCGCTCGAACTGGATGTGTTGACGGGGCATGACGCGGCAGTGTGGCGTCCCTGGGTTTGGAGCCCTAAACCCTAAACCCTAAACCCTAAACCCTAAACCCTAAACCCTAAACCCTAAGCCCTAAACCCTAAACCCTAAACCCTAAACCCTAAAATTTAAACCCCCTGTAATCTCCAGCTCCACCCCAGTAAATATTCTGAAGGGTGGGCGGCTGTGATCGCGAAGGGGAGCTTCGGGATGATCATGGCCTTCGATCGAGATCCTGGCGGAATGGCAAGAAGCGTGGTAGGTTCAGACACGAACGGATCAACTGTAAACCTCAAGCCCTAACTGCCCGAAGCCCTCAACCCTGAGCTGCCCCAAGACCTAAGGGTTTAAGATTTAGGGTTCGGGATTTAGGGTTTAGGGTTTAGGGCAGTTTAGAGCAGGTCATAGCATATCAATGCGTGCCACACAGCTTAGTACAGCACAGCATCGTAGATTGTAGCTTGCTCTCACAGGGTTTAGGGTTTAGGGTTTAGGGTTTAGGATGCCATTCTGTGAGTTGATCCTGAACCCCCCCAAGCCCTATAAGCGACTTAGGCCCTGGCCCTGCGCCCTCGAATGTCCCTAGGATCTGAACGGTTTAGGGTTTAGGGTACTAGCAGAGAGCCCTCCCAGTGGAGTTCCACCCCAACGTCGCGAGCAAAAAGAACCATCCACCCCAAATCCTTAAAACGTCGAGCATTTTCGAGGTGTGCAGCGCATACAGAAATGTATAGAAACATACAGTCACTTATGTATTCATATATATATATATAATGTATATACACAGAATGCACACACCTTTGTTAGAAGGTCCTTTAGGTGGTAAGGAGTGTTTCTGGTTGCAAGCCTGGGTGTGCGTGCCCGAATGGTCCCCAAACCGGAGACAGTCCCAGCCTCACTTTCAGCCCGTTTTAGGGTTTAGGGTTTAGGGTTCAGGGTTTAGGATTTAGGGTGTAGGGTTTGGGGTTTGCCCACGAGCGCAGGAAGAAGGCTACTGGTGCGGCGGAAGGATACCCAGACCAGGTGCTGGGGATACCATGAGGGAGTTGCGAGGGCCGGGGTTGCGGAACACAAGGGTTTAGGGTTTAGGGTTTAGGGTTTAGGGTTTGGGGTTTGGGGTTTGGGGTTTGGGGTTTGGGGTTTGGGGTTTAGGGCGGCCTTCTGAATCAGGGAACTCTCCAGTCCAGTCTTGATCCGTGCCGGCTATCTAGCAGATTCCCCAGCATGCAGCTTCATGGCGCCCTGTGGCCGGATCCAGGTGCTGCGGAAGTACACAGCGCATGACGGATCTGGACCCCGCAAAAAACAAGCAACCCGAATCCTGGAAACCGAATCCTGGAACCCGCAGCCCTAGATTCTAATTCAGCTCGAAACCCTAAACCCTAAACCCTTAACCCGAAATCGCAGAGGAAAGACCTGCCATCAGGACGGGAGCAAGACAACAACCTGGATGTACCATTGCAGCAGCACGAGCAGTACTATCTATTATTTGCTTAAGAGCCTCACAACAAATAACATTCTTCCTCATAATTGCTTGTTTGGGTAGCTATCAACAACAGAAAACTGGCACCGTGAGCAGGGTGGGAGCTTCCATGCTGTAGGAGAAGCAGCGGTAGAAGGAGATGCAACGGAAACTTGCCCTCAGCTTCTACAAGAGGGTTTTAGGGCTTTAGGGTTTAGGGCCTTTAGGGCCTCTAGGGTTTAGGGCCTTCAGGGGCTTTAGGGTTTAGGGCTTTAGGGTTTAGGGTTTAGGGCTTTAGGGTTTAGGCATAAGATGACCCTGCCCCGCCATCTGGGCGGCTCGTTGCTGCTTGCCGTTGCGGCGCTCTGCTCCACGGCAGGCAGGATGACTTACTTGGATCACGGGACTAGAGGAGGGACGCTTACAAGGGACCTTTGCCCCTTGCTTGGAGGTTTAGGGTACTTATGGCCCAGCTAGAAGTGGGTTTAGGGTTTAGGGATTAGGCTTAGGGTTTAGGGGTGTAGTTCTAACCCGATTATGAATTGCTGGATGGTATGTGCAGTTGTAATTGGCTTCAGAAGTACCATGAACCTCCAAGTAGTGGTTCTTAGCATAGAACTGGGGAATTTTGCACTACAGCGGTCACTCAAGTAAACCTCGGTTCCCAATTCTATCCTCCTAAACCTTGGCGCTAAACCCCAAACCCCCCAGAAATCCCTACTCGGCAGCCCCATGGGTATTTTCGGAGCTTACATGTGGTTTAGGAAGTGTCGGGTTCGTCATGCTTCTCTTTTCTGCTGAGCTGGAATTTGCAGGTGTGCTGCTTTAATCGCCATTATCATCAAAAGGGCGTCAACAGCCATTTCCCGAAGCCCCCAAACATCGGGAATCCCAGTGCTGGCCTCAGCAAGCCCTCCTGCAGCAGCCACTGAACCCCAAACCCCAAACCCTAAACCCCAAATCCCAAACTCTGAGCTGCACAACCCAAACCCTCAACCCTAAACCCCAAACCCCAAACCCCAAACCCTAAACCCTAACCTCCAAGCCCTAAACCCTCAACCCTCAACCCTCAACCCTAAGCCAGGCTATTCCTGGGTTGCAGGAAGAAGGCCGCCGCGCTCCCGGCCATGTGACGAGAGCCGTCACGCAACTCGTCTCGGCTGCGAATAGGGTTTAGGGTTTAGGGTTTAGGGTTTAGGGTTTAGGGTTTAGGGTTTACACTCATCCTCTTGCCCTGAGCTGGGTTTCAGGACAAGAAGTCGGGGATTTGCTGCCTTCTGTGGGGGGATCGTGTACAGTTGTTTGAAACTGGGGGTTCTCCGACCCCAACCCCCAAGCCCCAAACCGTCGACCATAAACCGCCAATCCGAAATCCTAAACCCCCAAAAACCGTACATCCTAAGCCCCTAAACACTACACCCTTCGCCCTGCTGGGGCAACGAAGTCCTAAACCCATCTAAGCCACGACTTCCCCATGCCGGGTTTATCTACTTTAGGAGCTGTGTGGGCGCTCAAATATCTGAAAGGAATATGCGATGTTAAGGGTTTAGGGTTTAAGGTTTACGGTTTTGGGTTTTGGATGCTGGGTATAGAAGAACCCTTGTAGCAATGTCCCTGGTTGCATGGTTTCAGTTTGGGCTCTAGGCCCTGCGGGCGCTGCCGCGTGTAGAGCCACGTCCACGACGGCGGCCAACCACTGACAAGGCGGTCGCGTGAAGCAGCTCAGGGCTTTCTCCTACGTGGGGTTCTTCGAAATTAGGGGTCGGCCAGGAAGGCACCCTGCGCTCCAAGCAGCCCTCGAATAGGGTTAAGGGTTTGGGGTTGAGGGTTCAGGAGGCAGATGATTTCGTGATTGCATACTTGCGGGCTCAAAGTGGCATAGTCCCTTCTAGAACCCTAATCTACATACTGAGGGGAGTGGGGGGGTCATAGCCATGCATAACCCTTTAGCCGGAGTCAGTCAGCCCGGATCAGGGCTGCAGCGGTTTAGGGGTTTCGGGGTTTAGGGCCCAAGATAGGTGCAGTTTGGTTTTGTGGTGCCAGGGCTTCTGCATCACAGGAAGTGAAAGCCATGCCCCGAAATCAGAACCCCCCCCCGAAAACTTGTAACCCTAAGCCTAGACCTAAACCCTATAAGCCCGCATGCCCTAGAAATCGCATTAGCCCAATCAGCTCCGTAGGGCCTACACACCAGCCTTATGAGCTCGACGAGTCCCAGGATGCGGTTTAGGGTTTAGGGTTCAGGGTTTAGGGTTTAGGGTTTACGGTTTAGGGTTTAGGGTTCAGGGTTTCAGGTTTAGAAGCCGTACGCCACGTCATCGGAACCCCGCAAGCCAACGTCCTAGAAACTTCTCGCCGTCTGCAGGGTTTAGGGTTTAGGGTTTAGGCTTTAGGGTTTAGGGTTTAGGGTTTAGGGGTCGAACAGAAGTTCGGGAAAAGGTTTCCGGATTGGTGGAGTACTCCTGTGGAAGCCTGTTTTGGACACGTTGTGATGTCCGGGGGCCTTAATCTGGGTTCGCCACAGTTGCACTGTTGGCGGGTTCAACGCCACGTTCCTCAGAATGCTTCTTCCCACGCAGGCGCGCGGTACAGCAGCTACTAGACGCCCGTAGCAGGACCTCAAAAAGAGGAAGATGAGATCTTTTGCCCGCCCGTGTGCGCTTGCATGCTTGCTCCCATGGGCCGTCAGAAGTTGCAGCCCTGTGGAAGGGTGGGTGCGCACGCGGCCGGAAGACCAGTGGTCCGCAGCTTCGTATGTACCTGGGAACCCCCAAATGGCAGACTTCTTCACACTTTCTTTGAAGGGGATGGGAGTTAAAGTTCAAACCCAAAACCGTAAACCCTAAACCCTACACCCTAATTAAGCCCTAAGCCCTTAACGCTAAACCCTAAACCCTAAAGCGGGGAAGGGGGGGGGACCTAGGTGGTGTATGGGGCCGCCGATGCAGTGATGGGCTGCGGTTTAGGCTTCGGGCAGCACGACCCCGAAGACGAAGCGCTCTTCAACGCATCGGGCCTTTGTGAGGGACAGGAGTACACCTCTTTGGTCCTCCTCCGCAACTTCAGTTTCACGAAGGGCGAGGTCGCGAATTGCAGTGAGATCGTGGTGGGTGGCTTTAGCTCTTCTCCTGCCTGCGGGGTGGACCCCCCCAATGCCGGGTCAATGGGGACCTACTTCCTTTGCACTGCCATGGTGCAGTCAGGACTGTGTAGCTGCGACGTATTTGAGAATCATTCAAAATCCAATCGCAGCGGTATAACAGGTTTCTTTCAGACAATTTTGGCTTCCCTTCCCTAAACCCTAAACCCTAAACCCTAAACCCCAAACCCTAAACCCTAAACCCTAAACCCTAAACCCTAAACCCTCAACCCTAGACCCTAGACCCTAAACCCTAAACCCTAAACCCTAAACCCTAAACCCTAAACCCTAAACCCTTGTTTAGAGTTTAGATACCATGTTCTCATGTATGATCGGATTCCTTGAACAAAGGCCCCCCCGCCAAAGAGACCCCATGTTCAGAATATTCTCTGGGCATCTCTTTGGGAAGTGGGTAGTTTCCCCAAAAAAGGGTACCCCTTTTATACCCCTAAATAGAATCGAATCCCCTTAAAGCGAACCCCCCCCCAAAAAGGGTACCCTTATGGAAACCCCCAAGTGGCTTCGCGCAGAACCAAGGCAAAGGGACGCTCAACACCCAGGGCAACATCCACCTGGGCTTCGTATCCCAGGCCGTTACAGCGCCCACAGACCCACGATGCCCGCAGGACGAAGCATGTTCAGGGTTGAGGGTTTAGGGTTTAGGGTTTAGGGTTCAGGGTTTTGGAAGTCCGGCTGAGGGCTATAGGGCTTTTGGGTTTAAGGCAGTGTGGACGCCAGGACGGAACCTGCTACGATGTAGGGGAGTGCACGCCCTTGACGCTCTCGAAGAGCCACTGGATGACAGGTGTGCTGGGCACGGCGACTGCCCTGCTGTGGCAGCTTCTGTAGCAGACACCTAAACTCTAAAGTTAAAATTTTTTAGCTTTCCTTGACTGGTGCTTAAGCACCAGCAAGCAGACAGAGCACCACGATACAGAGCACTATGGTTGCCAGCCTGCGTCTCACCCGAACCTGCAATGGCAGTTTGGGAAGCAAACCGTGTGGAGATTCAGGGTTTAGGCTGAAGCAAGGTCGATGGGTTAAGGGTTTAAGAGTTTGAGATTTTAAGGGTTGAAGGGTTTCAGGGTTTCAGGGTTTGAGGGACTCGGGGGGCTTAGGGTTGTAAGGGTTTAAGGGGCTTCGAGGGGTTTAAGGGTGTGTATATATATACACATGTATAGGTATATATACACATATATATATATATATGTGTATGTATGTACTTACATATATACATACACACACATACATATATATATATATATATTTCTATGCATGCATATACATATATATATATATGTATTTGTTTATGCTTCTGTCTATGTTTATATTTATACTTATAATTTGTATTTGTAAATCTATTTCTATATATATATATATATATATATATTTATATTCATATTTATTTGTGTTTTTTATATTTGAGGGGCGTTCTGGCGTAGTCTCCTCATGCAGGGGCAGCTGCCTTCGGCGAAGACGTGGAGAGCCTCGGAGGCAGCAGGAATGGCCCCAAAACCTAAACCCCAGACCCCAATGCCGAGGCCCCAAACCCCAAATCCCTAAACCCTAAACCCTAAACCTTAAACCCTAATCCCTAAACCCTAAACCCTAAACCCTAAACCCCAAACCCTAAACCCCCTCCATCCCCCGGCAACAAAGGAGAGCTCCGGCGAGACGTTCGTTTCGACCACGGTGAGGGGAGTGGCTGGAGGACCCATCTCCTACCCCAAGAGGACAGGGCACCACATTCATAGGGTTTAGGGTTTAGGGTTTAGGGTTTAGGGTTTAGGGTTCGGGTTTAGGGTTTCGGGTTTAGGGTTAGGCATATCCGTAGAGGCCAAAAAACCCCTAACTGCTCAAGGGCGTACATAAGTAAGTCAGAATTAAATGAGGAACCTGAAAAATGTAGACTCTTTTGGGGTGCATCCATTTTATGGCTTCTTATTGCAAGTTCTCTTAAGCCGAGTCCAGGAATCTCAGGATCCCATGCGGATTCAGACCAGCTTGGTCAAGAGCAAGTCCATCCAGAGCGGCGCGGCATGCAACCAACCTTTTGTAGCTCCTGTCCTGTGGGTTTAGGGTTTAGGGTTTAGGGTTTAGGGTTTAGGGTTTAGGGTTTAGGGTTTAGGTTTGAACAGCCCCACGGTGGCTTGGAGGTGTTTCTGGTGGAGAGCTTGAGCTTCCTTGTGAGAGAGCAGCTGCTAGCCATCAAGCTCCGAATATGGCCCTATATATTGCTTTCGAGGATCTTTGAAGCGACCCAAACCGAAGGGTAACAACCATAGGGTTCGAAGGCAAGATTTCATGAAACCAAGGACTGCTGTACTATCTTGATGCGGGTGATTTCGAGCAGTGGCTGCTTGGATGAGGGATCTCCATGTCGTGTTCCCCCCCATCGTACACCCTATAAGCCCTGAACTCCTCTATGGGGTTTACGAAAAGAAGGACCCCCAATATAGACCCTCAAATAGTAGGATTCCCTTATAGTAAGGACCAATGCCGGTACCCTGAAATACGGAAGCCCCTATACCCCCAGCCCTAAAGCCTAAAACCCGGAGTGATGGGACCCAAATGCCCTGGAGTCCTTCCCACGAGTCAGAGCCGACGGTGTTAGCTTCCAGCTTTGTTGATCGTTTTCCTGTCGGCTCTTGATATTCCAGGTCCTGCCCAGAGAGCTTCAGGCCCTTTCATCAAGGAAGAGATTGTTTCATTCATCCTGAGGAGCCCTTCATTCCTGAGTTTTTGGGGTAGTGATGTTCCGAGGAACGCGGTGAACTTGGCCACCGCGTGGCACCGGCTTGCCAAGTTCACGCGGGACCAAACCCGAGAGTCCCGAGACCAAGTCCGAGAACAGGCCCGAGACCAAGCCCGCGAGAAGGAGGCTTTGCAGCACAAAAGGTTAGCAAAGCGGGGTCTGCTTCTCTGGGTGGCTGCCGAGAAGGGGGTGCCCTTAGTATACTCTAACAACCATGGTCGCTGGCCTTCCAAGGAGGAGACAGAGCGGGATTTGCACGCCCGGGACCTGAGAGGCTTGTAGTCACGCAAACGTAGACCACATCACTTGGCTCACGGAATTTCCCGAAAGCCCCCAAACATGTGTGGGGTCTTTACCTGGGACCCTATTTACCTGCAGTTGAGTCGTAAGTACCCCAACATTTCGTAGGTATAACCCTAGGGAAATAGGGTCCCAGGCTATGCGCTTCGTAGCCCTTGGCTCAAGCCGGCGGACCCTCGAGGGACATGCGCCTGCACTTCTCTCGGAGCTGGGGTCTCCTACCAGCCCTTGGTGGTGCTGGAAGCCGAGCTTTTGCTGAGCTGCTTCTTCGTAGGGAAGGAGGGAATGAGGTACTCTAATAATCCCTTAAAGGGGTTGCTATTACTTTGTATAATCATCCCTTACAGGGGTATATATTACTTCATATGATCCCTTAAAGGGGTATATCTCGAGCCCCTAATTCCCTCATTCCCTGCCAAGAACCAGGAAGTTTTGCTGAGCACTGCGGCTTTTCCATTGCTCGAAAGCCCAAGCCACGCTCCAAAGCCCAAAGCCTCGAACACCCCCCCTTTGTCGAGCTCCTAAACCTCCCGGTTTAGGGTTTAGGGTTTAGGGTTTAGGGTTTAGGGTTTAGGGCCCAAGCCCCAAAACCCGAACTTTTCTCAGGTTGGCGCCTGCTTGGGTGGAGTGCTGAGCTTTGCGTGGCCAGGGCCTCTTCCGTTTCATCCCCCCTCAAATACCCTAAGCCCCGTAGCCTGCAAACCCTAAACCCTAAAACCTTAAAAACCCTAAACCCTAAACCCTAAGCCCCAAACCCTAAACCCTAAACCCTAAACCCTAAGCCCTAAACCCTAAACCTTAAACCCTGCACCGTCTGGCCTGAGGCCCAAAGTCTTCAGCAGCTCAAAGTCCATGTCGTTCGAGAGCTGGCGGCTGTCGAGGACCAGTGACCTTGCAGACAGACTGGGCAAAGGGCTCAGGGTTTAGGGTTTGTGGTTTGCGGTTTAGGGTTTAGGGTTTAGGGTTTAGGTTTAGGGTTTAGGGTTTAGGGTTTAGGGTTTAGGGTTTAGGGTTTAGGGCTGGGGTGTTCAGGGTCCCGAGCTCGCAGAAACCCTGCTTGGTTTTGAGCATCTACTCGCAAGACCATAGTTGTGCGGTAGCTTCTAGATGAGGTGGGGAAGGGAGCGGCTATTGCAAAGGTTAGCTTCACATCAATCGCTTCATCCTCTGAAGATGAGAGGTGGCTGCACCCGAAAGTCAAAACCCCCCGAACGCCCCAAATCATTTTTTCCAAAAACATGAACCTCTAAGGGTAGTCTCATGGCCCCTTTTTTTAGAGGGGAACCCTTGTATACCCCTTCTATATCCCTTAGATACCCCATCCACTCCGAAGCCCCCAGCACCTTCTCTTCGTGGATGCTTAGGGCTTAGGGTTTCAGGCTTAGGGTGGGGTTAGGATTTAAGGTTTATGGTTTAGGGGGTTTAGGGTTTAGGGGGTTTACGGTTTAGGGCTTGCTTAGGGCTTAGGGTTTAGGAAGTCCTACAGCCCCAACACTAGTACACCCAAAAAGGACGGAGCTGCGGGACGTCTTCAACCGCTACGAGCAGGCGGTGGAGAAGGATGCGTGCGCTGCCGCAGCAGTGACTGAAAGGGAGCAGCTCACATAGTTGCACTGAGGCTTTGAGGCTTGCAGTCTAAGGGTAGTTGCACAGTCGCTCAATATGGGCCCTGAATTGAGGAACCCTTACATACCCCCCTATACACCCTGTAAAGCCCACGGGCCCATGCTTCAGAACCCTTTGAAGGAGCAGGGTTCAGTATCCCAGGCCCGGAGCTCCTAACCTTGGCTTGCCGTTGGCCTGCGAAAGTTTCATGCAAAGATAGGAGAGGAGAGGGTTCAGGGTTTAGGAGGCCCCAATTCGTTGGTTTGTACGGAACCTGCTCGTTTATGGGGTTTGGGGCATCATTCACAGGGGTTAGGGTATAGGGCTTGGGGCTTGGGGCTTGGGGCTTGGGGCTTGGGGCTCAGGGTTTACGGTGCACTCTGCCTCAACCCTAAACCCTAAACCCTAAACCCTAAACCCTAAACCCGAAAGGTACCACATGCTGCAGCCCAGCAAGCTGGAGCGCAGGCTCCTGGGCGAAGATCTGCTGAATCGGCGGGTCACGGCCGTACGGCAGGCACTTCTGGGGCCCCCGGGCCCCAAAACCTCAACTCTGAACCCTAAACCCTAAACCCTGAACCCTAAAAAACCCTAAACCTTGAACCCTGAACCCTAAACCCTAAACCCTCAAGCCCTAAACCCTAAACCCTAAAAACCCTAAACTTTGAGGCCCCAAATCTAGGGTCCCAAGTATCGGCCCTTTGTTTTAGGTCCCTTGTTATGTAACCCTTACATACTTATCTACACTACACAGAGTACACTAAGGACCCATCCTTCGAATCCCTAAGGGGCCATACTAAGGGCCCATGGTTCCGACTGTAGACTAAAGTTGAAGCCCTACGCTTGAAACAGCCCGAAACTTGAAGCCTTCTGTTCGAGAACTCCTCGGACTTAAGCCCTAACTGTAAAGGGCTTGGGCGATTTTTCTTAGGGCAGTTGCATGGTCCCCTAGTATGGGCCCTTTAAAGGGCGACCACACTTATGTACCCGACCGTATTAAGGGCCCCTGGAACTACCCTTAGAATTTTGAGGTTGAACCTGCCCCTCCCCTGAAGTTGGAGCATGTAGGGTTTGGGGTTTGGGGCTTAAATTTAGGGTTTAGGGTTCTCTAGGCTATGTGCAGTTTTTGTTGGGGTACTCTAGAATTCAAGCTCCGTGTCGTACGAACTGAAAAGGGGTCCCACCGAAGAAAACTCTGGGTTTTGGGTTTGGAGTATAGGAGGGCTTAGGTTTGGCTTTGCCTTCACCCTAAACCCCAAACCCGAAACCCTAAACCCTGAACCCCAGACCCTGGATCCTACACCCTACGCCTT